TGATATATCATATATTTGCATTATCTGTGTACATATTTGCATACTTTTATTCTCTGTTTAGCTCCATTCTGCATCATTTAGGCACCTTTTAACCATAGTTCAGTTCACATTTGCATCTTAGAGTCCTAGGATAGAGTTGTACATATTTCTCTTTCTTTTACCTTTTTTCAGGCGGTACTTGTGCTTAATTGGAGTTATCCGGCTTACTAGAGCCTAGGGGAATGGAGTGGTACAGAGGAGTGGATAAGCAAAGGAATTACAAGGTTCCAGATCGAACGGGGAGCAGTGGAGCAGAAATCAGTCGAGAATCATCAAGGAACGCCGGTGAGAAGCACTTGGAATAGCGGGAAGATGGAGTCTTAACAAACTCACTGAATTTCATGACTTGGTGAGAATCAGACCGTTAGTGCACCTTAAATCTATGCACAGATGTCCCAGGTTATCCCCTTGTTATGATGGAGCATCAAGACTCTCCAACCGTTGGACCAGGCGCATCAAACTGGGTGAAAATAAGTTGAAGAAACCGATATCCTATGATATCGGCACCAACCGATGAGGAAGACCGATATACTGCACCTATCGAGAAGCTCGTGTCGCGACTCGAGAGTTGCTGGACGCGCTGGATAGGGAATGAAAATCGGTCACTTCCCTGATATGAAGTGACCGATATTTAATGCATTTTGTTGACTTTTCTGGTTAACCGTTGACTCGAGCTGGGCGATCCATTTACGCTTCGGGTCGATCCGGGTACTGTTATGAAGGGCTATATATATGTTCTTAGCCCCTGAAAAACCTAAGTCTTGTCTTTTCTTTCCTTTCTACGTTTTTAAGCTTTCCATTTACGGTTTAGTTGTAATCGATCCTTAGAGCATCGAATCTTTGGTGTTCTAAGTTACTTTCTTTATAAAGGTTTAGTCTTTAGCTTAAAGTTTCAATCTTTGCTTGTTAATCGCACTTATCTTTGCATAACTTCATTCGCACCTCACTCGAACTCAATCATGGCTTTTCCCGTACCCATGAGTGAGTAGTCCACTCATCGAGTGTCGGGATAGTATATGTAGAAGCTTTAGAGGTTGGCTAACTTAGTTTCGGCTCAACCCTTATATTTCTCGAGTTTAGGTTGGAGAGTCCTTATATCTAGCAGCGAAAGTCAGTTAGATGTTTGTACTCAACAAAGTGGTTAGTAGCATCACGAAAGTGGGATGATCATTATGCGTGTTTCAGGCTTAAGAGTGAGTTTAATACTAAAGTCCTAACTTTGTTAGCAGAGATCTATTGCTCTGCATCAGTTGCTATCCCGATACTTGGTGCTTTCCATCACATTGCATTTGCTATCAAGTCTCTGTTTTGCGTATTTCTAGTTTATTCACATTTCTCCTTAGTTTAGCTCAATCAAACCAAACCCCTATTGTTGCTTTAGCTTAATGAAAGTTCTTTATGGTCTAGTACTTTGAGTCATTGTCTTCCCTGTGTTCGAAATCTTTCACTTGCTGCAATTGAATCATGAATAGGTTGTTAGCTTTGTTAGCTTTTATTTGATAAGTTAATTTGCTTATAACTGGTAAAACAACTCTCATCACTCTC